GTGGCCATCCTCATTGGTGAATAAACAAGTACATTACACAGCTTAGACTTCAGTGAATGGAATCAATTGAAATTTCCAATTTGGTTTTAAATTGAGTTGATGACCACATTTATTACATCTCTGCCTGCAAGGAAAATAACCTCAATACCAAGAATTTTATAATGAATATAACAGTATTGAGAGTATGTGATAATATCTTAATACAAATAATAGTTTGAAGTAGGCTTACTTTAGTTACTTAGTAACTGTTTTTCTGAGTTTAAAAAGAGTTTTTTCGTTGTCAATCAGAGTTTTACCTCTAATTAATCATACATTTCAAGAATGGATTGCCCCATAAAAATGTAGAAAATTTAAAAACACTTCAAATTTTTGATATTATTCTGAGTTAAAGGTTCCATCAACTAAATAAAAAAATCAAATAAAAATAACAAGTGGGAGTACTTCCATAGATACCATGACTAGCATTAATCCCTATTCTGGTTTTTATTTTCCATGTCGTGTATACAATGTATGTTGGACATGCATAGTAACATACATGTAACTGATTAACCTAAACATAAATGACTTAAATCAGAACTTAATAATGATCATTAATTAATGATAAGAACATACTCTTTTTAGCTACTCATGATTACTATGGTGATAAAATGAATAAATCTCAGCACAGTTCTCTAATTTGTCCTGCACTGCTAAGTAACAGAACACAAGAGTGCCCTGCGACCACACCTATACAAATATACTGGATAAATTCTGTGTTTTGCATATGATGATTGTTTTGTTTTTTGGTGGAGGACAGAAATAATAAGAATAATATCTTTTTTAGTGTTTTGCTGTAATTTATTACATGTGTTCTTACAACAGCTGTATTCTGTTGACTCAACATATTGAATTTTCTAAGGAACCAGAAACGCAAAATACACTTACTTTGACCTTAAGGTATGCACTATGTACTAAGTAAATTATAAACACAAGTAGCCATTACTCTCAATTACTTTGGGAATTAATTAGTCAATAAATAAAAGGCCAATTACTATATAATAAGTATCAGAAATAAATATATATTTAAAATTATTTTTTTTTCCTCTCAAGAAGTAATCATCAATAATTCCTAGCATGTCATAAATCTCCATTGTCAATACGTTTTAAAAATCAAACAGTTTGAATGGTAAATGCTTTGAGACATATGATTATAGTGAGACTCATGGGAGAATTCTGTATTTGCTTTGATATATAATGGCCTAATTCCTCTCTTTGATATTAAATTC